GAAATACTTGTTCTTTTCCCTGGTTTGCCTTCATTTGATTTCATTGAAAGCACCAGTCTTACACTTTTGTACTTTCGTTTCCCCATTACACCACTTGCATAATATGTTGCAATACTTCGAACAATGTTGTCATCTGACTTTTCAAATTCTAACACACTCTTCTTATACTCTTTACAAACTATTCTATTGGTCAACTGCTTGTTCTCTGTCACATATTTTGTTAACTTATCTAACTTGCATCTCTTTTGCAGAGTGTGAAACATTCCCTCGAAACAGGCTGAGGAATGTTCATTTGAGCTCCCATGAATTTTGGCAGCAGCTTCAATGGTTTCATGCCTCCTTTTTCTTGCGGTCCTTGGTCCCAGTGTTGATTCTCCATTGACAAGTGCAGTAGGGCTTCTTGTTCGTGCCTGAGATACCTGTCCCTGTGACTAAAATATTGCTTAATTAGACACTGGGTAGTAACACAATTATTTAAATTAGATGTGGTTGGATGATAACAAAATAGATATTTAGCCAAATCTTACATTCAATATGTTGATGTTTACAATTTAGAGACACTGTCATTTATGACAGTCTTTACTGACCAAATGAACACAGGCACTCGCTCAGGTTTCTTGCATAGGTACCGGCATAGAAGCCTGACCATGGCTGTCATTCTGGCACTGGCTCTGTGTTAAGTGGTTAGTTCACCGAAATTGAACTTGCAAAATATTTTTTTTTATTTTTACAAAATTGAATATTTTTCTGTTCACATTATTAATAAAATTTGGCATAAAATTAAACCTCATCCAACCACTAATCAATGCAAACCTACAGACTTAGTTGGAGGTTGCGCCCAGCAGTTTTTTGCTGCATACTTACTGGTACTGGTAAAACAACCACAATAAAGAATCAAGAGTATACTCACAGGAATATTTTCTAATTCATTTGTTATGTCTTTGAAGTGTTCCCTGACTGTGGCCAACTGAAAGCAATTATTATACAAGTGATTTCATAAGCACTGATTGTTTAATTTCAAGTGTCATTTAGAGTTTAAACACATAAA